TGGTGGTGTTGGGTTGACGGTTGGACTCGATGATCTTAGAGGTCTTTTCCAACCTTAATGATTCTATGATTCTATGATTCTGTGATTCTGGATCTAGCTTTTTCACCTGAACCAAAAACTTGAGCTAAGTGTTATGACCCTAATGGAAATGTAGGTACTTAGGAGGGGATTCAGTTATCTAAAGAAAAGTGTTTAATATCAAATTTTGTAGTATTTTATGTACTTTTCAGTAGGGTTTCCAGAAGTTAAATATTTCCAGTAATTTCTGTGTCAAATCTGTCATCCCATGAAGCTATGTTTATTACTTTAATGTCCTCAGATTATACTAACTGCTAATGTGAGGTAGTTGAACTCTTAAGTAGATATTTACAGATTAGGTGTAATAGCTAAACCCACCCCTAGAGCTAAATAAAATTATTCCATTTCATTATAGAGATTATAAACTAGCTTATTTCATTTATCTTCCTCATGTAAATGTCTGCTAAAATAAATATGGTTGTCAGGCAATTTTCAATTCCATATATCCCCCCAAAATATGGGACTGTACTGCAGGTCACTTCAGTGTATTTTTACCAAATAGCAAGAAGGTTAAATGTTAGATGTCCTGGGGCATGGCATAATGGAATTTGAGGACCAAAGACCTGCTGAGGTACTGTTGCAAGATTTCATAGCACAAAGAGTACAAAACCTGATCTAGTCTCCTCCATACTGCCAAGTGGAAGGCGTCCCTGAAGTGAACTAGTTGTAAAACCACTTTGGAGTTGGTCTTTTTTGAGTCAGATGTCCTACTTAAGCCAAAATCATAAGATTAAAATGATATTCATACAGTGAGATTAAGTGGAAGATTCGCACCTAAGAGAGTTGGAATTATAGAAGTTATTTGGCTGTTAGGACACACAGTTTGATTTAATTTGCCAATATATTAGAATCTAGTGACATCTGACGTGTTAAAGTATGTTGGTTGACCGCTAACTGCTGGCCAAAGCCTTATGCGCATGCTTAGACATCTAAGGGCATTTCATGAAGAAGGCATCTTTATAATAATGTAAGTGCACTACAAGAGTAGTGTTGCCAGGAGAAAAAGGGTTAGTTCTTATCTCTTTTCTATTGGGCTGGTGAGGCTCCACTTGGACTACTGTGTCCAGTTTTGGGATTCCCCTAGTTCAAGGAAAATGCAGAGAAATGAGAGGGGTTCTTACTAAGGCCTACTAAGATGTTAAGATGAATTCTAGAGTACATGCAGTATGAAAAGAAGTTGAAATAGCTAGGTTTGTTTAATGTGGTGAACAGGAGGCTATGGTGTGGTCTAACAGAAGCCTACAGTTACAAAGGCAAAGGGGCCAAACAATTCTTGGTCATGACAGATACTATAAAAAGAGGGAAACATAGTGACTTGCAACTCAGTAGTTGCAAATAGGCCATTAGGAGAAGCTTCTTCACTAGGAGGTCAGAACAGCACTGAAACAAGTTTCCCAGAGAGATTATAGTATCTCTGTCTTTGAAGGTTTTCAACTCTCAGCTAGACCAAACCACAGCTGGCATAATATAGAGATAGTGAGAGTTATGCTGCTAAAGGGAAGTCAAATTATGGATATACTCACACCTGGAGTACTTCATCCAGTTCTGGGCTCCCTGGTACAATAGTGACATGGATATAGTGGAAAGAGTCCAGTGAAGGGCCATGAAGATGATTAAGGGGCTACAGCATCTCTACTATGAGGAAAGGCTGAGAGCTGGGACTGTTCAGCCTGGAGAAGGGAAGGCTCAGGCAGGATCTCATTAATGTATTCAACTGTTTCTGAAACGAGAGTGTAAAGAAGATGTAGCCAGCCTCTTCTGTGGTGTCCACTGACAGGATAAGAGGCAATGGGCACAAACTGAAACACAGGAGGTTCTCTCTGAACATGAGGAAACACATTTTTACTGTGAGGGTGACCAAGCACTGGCACAGGTTGCCCAGGGAGGTTGTGGAGTCTCCATCCTTGGTGATATCCAAAGCTGTCTGGACATGTTCCTAGGCATGTTCCTAGACTTAAAAAATTATTTCCATCTGTCTCTCTTTGTACACCATGTGTTCCAACCCCTCTATCATCAACCCTCTGCTAGACTTTGTCCATGTTGTCTTTCTTGTAGTGGGAAGCCCCAAACTGGACATAGTACTGCAGATGTAGTCTCACAAATACATGCAGTCTCAGGTAACAAATAGAGGGGAAGGATCATTTCCTTTGGCCTGCTGGCTAGATTACTGCTAATACAGCCCAGGAGGCAGCTGGTCTTCATTACTGCTGGGGCACACTGCTGACTCATGTTAATTTGTCTGCCAGGACCTCCATGTCCTTTTCTGTAGAGCTGTTGCCTAGTCAGTGAGTGCCCAACTTATACTGAAGTATTGGGTAATTCTTTCCCAGGTGCAGGATTTTGCATCTCTCTTTGCTGAACTGCTTAAAGTTCTTCTTGTCCCTCTCCTTCTGAATGTTACTTTAGAAAGGGCTGGGTCTCCCATAGGTCCAGTGTCAAATTTGCCAACTCTGTGTTCATACCATATGGCATCAGAAATGCTGTTAGATGCCTATGTTTAGACAATTGATTCTTCTCTTAGTGCTTATATCTTCTCATGTAATATAGAAGGAGCAGAGGAAAATTATACTTGAAAATCAGGAGGCTCATTTAGCATTTAAAATGGAAATTAAACTATGTAAATTAACCCTCTTCCCCAAAAGTAAAGGTTTGTTCTGTAAATCTCAGCTACTTCCCAAAGTTCTATTTGAAGTTAATGAAGAGAAGAAGGAACTTCTCAGTGGTGGTTCATGTTCTCCTATGACAGCTATCTAAAATGATTGTTATTATCTGAATTACTGAAGTTCCCACCTTAATCCATGTGAAGAAAGTTGACATAACTATTTATTTGGTGCCTCAAGTTCTTTGAATCCCAATTTCATATTAAGTTATATCAAAGTCAGAATGCAATTGTGTTCTTTGATGCAGACCAAAAAAATACATTAAGAGAAGACGAAGATGTTTATTGCCTTCTCTACTGGTCAGGAATGATGTGTGATGTGTTCAGTAGAAACACCTTCTTTTACATTCACACAGCGTTAGTATTCATTGATTTTTGCTTAACATGCAAGATTGACTCAGGAAAAGCAATCCTTAACCACTCATGTCTAAACAAAACCATAATCTTCATTTCTGTGAAAGTAAAAGTCTTATTAGACATTCATAGGATTCAGACAAATTCAGTTGGAAGATTATCTTCCAAGTATTATATTAGTGATCAGACCCAGAAACTCTGGAGACAGCACCCATGCCACACAAGAGCTTCCATATAGTGTCTTTTACTTCCTGGTTCCTCAGGCAGTAAATGAATGGATTTAGCATTGGAGTGACTATAGTATCAATTATGGAAACCAGTTTGCTGAGATCCAGGGAGTGTATACTCCTGGGTCAGGCATACACGAAGAGGGTGGCTGAGAAGATGATGACCATAGTCAGGTGAGAAACACAGATGGAACTGAAACACAGGAGGTTCTCTCTGAACATGAGGAAACACATTTTTACTGTGAGGGTGACCAAGCACTGGCACAGGTTGCCCAGGGAGGTTGTGGAGTCTCCATCCTTGGTGATATCCAAAGCTGTCTGGACATGTTCCTAGGCATGTTCCTAGACTTAAAAAATTATTTCCATCTGTCTCTCTTTGTACACCATGTGTTCCAACCCCTCTATCATCAACCCTCTGCTAGACTTTGTCCATGTTGTCTTTCTTGTAGTGGGAAGCCCCAAACTGGACATAGTACTGCAGATGTAGTCTCACAAATACATGCAGTCTCAGGTAACAAATAGAGGGGAAGGATCATTTCCTTTGGCCTGCTGGCTAGATTACTGCTAATACAGCCCAGGAGGCAGCTGGTCTTCATTACTGCTGGGGCACACTGCTGACTCATGTTAATTTGTCTGCCAGGACCTCCATGTCCTTTTCTGTAGAGCTGTTGCCTAGTCAGTGAGTGCCCAACTTATACTGAAGTATTGGGTAATTCTTTCCCAGGTGCAGGATTTTGCATCTCTCTTTGCTGAACTGCTTAAAGTTCTTCTTGTCCCTCTCCTTCTGAATGTTACTTTAGAAAGGGCTGGGTCTCCCATAGGTCCAGTGTCAAATTTGCCAACTCTGTGTTCATACCATATGGCATCAGAAATGCTGTTAGATGCCTATGTTTAGACAATTGATTCTTCTCTTAGTGCTTATATCTTCTCATGTAATATAGAAGGAGCAGAGGAAAATTATACTTGAAAATCAGGAGGCTCATTTAGCATTTAAAATGGAAATTAAACTATGTAAATTAACCCTCTTCCCCAAAAGTAAAGGTTTGTTCTGTAAATCTCAGCTACTTCCCAAAGTTCTATTTGAAGTTAATGAAGAGAAGAAGGAACTTCTCAGTGGTGGTTCATGTTCTCCTATGACAGCTATCTAAAATGATTGTTATTATCTGAATTACTGAAGTTCCCACCTTAATCCATGTGAAGAAAGTTGACATAACTATTTATTTGGTGCCTCAAGTTCTTTGAATCCCAATTTCATATTAAGTTATATCAAAGTCAGAATGCAATTGTGTTCTTTGATGCAGACCAAAAAAATACATTAAGAGAAGACGAAGATGTTTATTGCCTTCTCTACTGGTCAGGAATGATGTGTGATGTGTTCAGTAGAAACACCTTCTTTTACATTCACACAGCGTTAGTATTCATTGATTTTTGCTTAACATGCAAGATTGACTCAGGAAAAGCAATCCTTAACCACTCATGTCTAAACAAAACCATAATCTTCATTTCTGTGAAAGTAAAAGTCTTATTAGACATTCATAGGATTCAGACAAATTCAGTTGGAAGATTATCTTCCAAGTATTATATTAGTGATCAGACCCAGAAACTCTGGAGACAGCACCCATGCCACACAAGAGCTTCCATATAGTGTCTTTTACTTCCTGGTTCCTCAGGCAGTAAATGAATGGATTTAGCATTGGAGTGACTATAGTATCAATTATGGAAACCAGTTTGCTGAGATCCAGGGAGTGTATACTCCTGGGTCAGGCATACACGAAGAGGGTGGCTGAGAAGATGATGACCATAGTCAGGTGAGAAACACAGATGGAGAAGGCTTTCTTCCTGTTCTGGGCCATGGGAATGCACAAAATGGTGCTGATTATCCACATTTGAGTAATTATGATGACAGAGAGGGTGATCAACAGAATAAGCAAGGCAAAGACAAAGTCCACCATATCTGCAACTAACTGCTCAGTGTAAGAGAGGTTGAGCAAAGGGCTGACATCACAGTAGAAGTGGTTGGTGACATTGGGGCCACAGAAAGAGAACTGGGAAATGAAGAAGACCTTTAGCACAGATGTCAGAAAGCTAACCAGCCAAGGACCCACGGCCAGCTGCATACAGACTCTGTGGTTCATGATGACTGGGTAGTGCAGGGGGTTGCAGATGGCCACATAGCGGTCCTAGGCCATGACAGCCAGGACGACACATTCAGTACAGACCAGGGCGATGAAGAAGTACAGCTGGGCCATACAACCTGTGAAGGAGATACTCTTATTCTTCACCAGAAAGTTGACCAGCAATTTGGGAACAGTGACTGAGAGGTACCAGGCCTCTAGGAAAGATAGATGGCCTAAGAAAAAGTACATGGGCTTGTGGAGTTGGTGATGTCTTCTGATTAAAGTGATGATGACTATGTTTTCAAGGACAGTCAACAAATACAGAATGAGGAAAATTACAAACAATAGAGCCTGCAACTCTATGATGGTAGAGAATCCCAAGAGGATGAACTCATGGATGTGGCTATCATTTTCTTGTATCATGATGACCTTGAAGACCTGGAACATGTAAGGAGGAAAAAGTAAGGAAATAAGGAACATTTTGTATCATCTCCTCCAAGCATCCTCTCCATACTGGACTTGCAAATACCCAATTTAAGTAGACATTCCACACCAGTTATCTAATTGACATTCATTATTATTTAACCACTCCTGAAAATTTTTGAGTCCTACAGCATTATAGGATTGGTGATTCAGATCCTGGCTCCAAGAAAATGTTTAGGCTTCACTGATTTCCTCACAGGCCTTCTTACCCCTGTCTTCACTTAAAAGACAGTCAAAGGGAAGAGGAAACATTATTAAATGTGGTTTTCATCTCAGTTCTGAGCTACCCCTCAGAAGGCCACTAATGCCAAAAAATACCTACATAAAAGCACAGTCTTGCTAAATGGCTGAATGCATGTAAGGCAAATTTGGCTTGAGCTGTTTTTCTCTCTCCCCTTCTCTTGACTATAGGCAGAAGAAAATAAGTGTTTGTTCTCTCAAATATAGTACTTTAATTAAGTTTGCTAGGGTTATGGGATATATGCATTTATTTTTTTCTTTCAGAATTGGGAAGGATCTATGCACCTCAAAATTTCTCTCATTTCCAGTACATTGATTGATTGACTAAAATAGGGCACTCCTCCTCACAAATAACAGCTTTCATATAGTCTTAGACTACAGTAATTACAGTACCCATCCATCATTTTTCTTCTGCATTACTTGATAGAATTAATCTTGATTTATCACAATATACCCGAGGTTTGATGTTTATTCTGCTTTTCCACTTCTTAGTGAAGATTTCAAATAAGCTATTTTGACCTATACCTGCATGTTCATATCCAATAATCAACTGCCTTTCTAGAATGATATTCAGGCTTTGTCCTTCATAAAATATTTTTCGTATAAAACATTAAGAAAAAAATCCATTAATGTTATGAAATGTTACAAAAATTTCCACAGAAAAAGAAATATGTATTTTACTGATTTAATTATTTATTTGTCTTTGAGTTTCAAAATTTTTCAATTTTGCTGCCAAATAAGAAAGTAACAGAATGTAAAATATAATTTTATCTCTAAGGATGGCTTTCACATTTCCTAGCTTGTACTGTATGTGGGACTCCTCAACCGTATTTCAGCAACTTGGTGTAGGCACCTTCCATGAGATTTGTGGCATTTAATTTAACCGGTGGTAAATGCTGACAGTTAAGGCAGGTAACTTGGTTTCCAGTATAGCCAATGGAGATCTAAGCAGTACAAGAAAAAAACCTAGCATGTGTGATCTTAACATGCTATAGAAAACACACCATAATTGAAAAGTACATGAATGAAAAGGATGTCAAAAAGAGAAAATAAAAATGATGTTTACACATTCCAACATAGGCTGGAAAAATTCCAAAACTACCTTATAGTACTCTAGAATATTGACTGAAAATAATTTAATAAAAAAGGGTGATTAATTAGAGTATTTCAGGTACCTACCTTCAAAAAATGGATCACTCTCAGGTGACATATAAAGATAACTTCCAAGTTTAATTTTGAGAATCGTTAATGTCACATGAAGTTTCTCAGGGTAAAAATTATGCTGAATGTTTTTTATACTCTAGTCCACTGAAAGTGGAATAAAAGTGCCAATTTTTACCCCATAAATATCTTCATTATCTTCAGAAGAACTGCTATTGCATATAATACAGAAAGGGGATGATGGGAAGGTTATATTTAACTCACACTAGAATACTGCTTAAACTTAAGGGGAAACACAATGGAAAAAGGTAATATTAATGTCAAAATACATTGAAATATATTATTGCTGCTGCTATTGTCACCCTCATCTCTCAACGGAGGCCACAGGATTTTTAAAAGCATATAAAGTACAATAAGAAAGTTCCATCTTTCTAATCTTTTAATCTATTATATCCACCTCTGTTTTCCTTCCCAAACAACCCTTCTTTCTTCTCTTTCACATTTTGTTTCTCTTGGAAACTACTCGTTTCCAAGACTCTCCCAACTTACGTTGGTATTCTCAGAGTGTAGGTGAGATGAGACAACAAGAAAAACCTCTAACAAAGCTAAAGAAAAAGAAATTAAATGTTCTTTGTCTGAACAAGAGATCAGCATCTATGCTTCTGTTTCTCTCTTTCATTTAGCTAGAACCTTACCCCTTTGTTTTTCTCTGAATGGTTGAAAGCAGGCTGGATTGTAAAATGCTGTGAGCACATACAGTTCCTGCAGACTTTCTGCAGCTTCCGTTGAGTGAAAGATTTCCCAGGATGGAAAATATCACCCAGTATATTATCCTTCAAAGCCCAAGAGAACTAAGAACAAAATTAGAGGGAATAAAGTCCACTCCTTTTTCTAAACCTCATGGAAGAGGTTGATCATCTGGGGGTTTTTTGTTTGCTTGTTTGCTTTTTTTTTTAATGTGCTAACCAGCTATTATAGAACTACTGATACTTGTTTTTCTTCCTCCAAAGTCAATGCTGTCTATGTGATAAGACATTGGACTGGAACTCAGGGCATTTCTACTCTGCTGTTGGCTCATAATCACATGGTGGGTTGCTTTGACCAATAAATCTTTTCACTTATCAGTGCCTTAGTTTCTCCATATGTAAAACAGTGATTATACTGGCCTTGAAAATGACTTGAGGTTCCACAGAGAAAGTGGTGCCCAAGCTTTAACTATCAATAATATTGTAGGTGTGAAAGACACCATTCAGAGGGGGAATCCAGCTCCCACCACGTGTCTACAAACTCAGAGTGAGATTCAGCTCAAAGACTAAGACATCTAAATACAGGTGACAATACTGCAAGTGTCCATATGTGAACTACATGGCTGAACTCCCATTACAGTCAATGGGGAGAGAATCAATAGAAAAGAGTTTGGACATTACTTCACCTCATTCAAAAGTAGCCACATTGTTTGGGCTTCATTTTCCAAAATGTGTGTCTTTTCAAACACTGTTGGGTGTTCTTCTTAGCCTTCAGCTGATGCTCTGTATTTTCTGAGTTGTATCTGCCAGACCCATGTCTTAGATTTCCAAGGCACTAACCATCTGTTCCCTTCTTCAATGGCTAAAGTAAAGCAGATGTATCCCAGACACCTACCTATGTGTGTCTACACATTCACTTCAGTTTTGTGCTTCTGGAAAACCCACTGGTTCAAGAAGTTAAGTCTTCATCTCTGGAAATCTGATTCTCATTAGAAGTAGAGTGTAAATAAGTGTAAGCCAGGCACACAGTCAGAAAGTTTGGGCCTGAGTAGGAGCTGAAGATCAAAGTTGCCACAAACAAATTTTTTAAATAGGACAAAGTTCCTTCTGAGACCAAAATTCTCAGTCTAGTCCAAATTTTACTTCACAGTATGGGCAAACAAAAGTAATAAAGGAACAATGAAGCACTCCAGAAGAGATCACAGTTAAGTTTTCAGGCAGGCCTGTATCTACGTTGGCAAATAACTTCAATTTCTGACTTAGTCCAAGGAAACCTTGGGTTGTCTATTAAACACACCTGTATGCTTCATGCAGAGTTACAGAACACAGAACTCATACACTCTGTTTCATGCAAGCAAAACAACACTTTTCTGGACTGTAACACAACTTGTAGTTACTTCGAGTAGAAATCTCGAAGAGCCACAAGGACACCAGACAGAGCCCAGGGAAGACCTGGGTGAAATGCTATGTTGTGATGTGTATGTAGCAATCAACTTTATATGGGTTTAATCCTGTCCAATGCAGAGCCAAGTAACTTCGTGCCACTTGATCTGGCGGACCATGGATCACTCTGGGTGGGGAGTTATTAATAGCATATTTGTAGACAGACTTTGTGTTTGTTGTGTTTATTGATGCACTGATGGCATACACACCCATAGCAGGAATGATGGATAGACATTTAGAGTTGTACCAAACAGAATTAAAGTCATAAATAATCAACTTTGGACACTGTACCTTTGGATGCCTGGAGAGCAAAGCAAGAGGATGAAATTCAGGAAGGGTGGGTATTTGTAAGTCTGATTGTGACCTGCTAGTTCTCATCCCCTCTTCCTGCTTCCCAGTGTTCTGTTTAATTGACACTCCTTCAGGGATGTAAATAATAACAATACAGGTGCAAGAGAACTCTGCAAGACATTAAGTCATTTTGCATATGTGACCACTTAACTCCACTTGTATGCTTTATTTTCTTGTTACTGTTTCCCTACAACTTCTTTAGCCTACATCTTTCATTATTTCTCTTACACTTTCTGTCTCCTAGCAATTTAAAAGAGGGGTAAGCTTCATCTCGCTTCATTTTAAGCATGTAGGGCATAGAAACCTATACCTAACCTCACAGTCTGATTCATTTACTAGTTAAGGGTGAGGATCTCAGTCACATCATTTTCAGATAGACAAGTGGAAGTAAGTCACATGAAGACTCCCTGGAATTGTCTAATTATCTCCATTGATGGTAAACATATTGTAGTCTGGTTGAATAGCTCATCATGTGAAGTTAGGCGTAAGGAACTTTGCTTCAAGTTACTGACTGACCCCGAGTTATTAGTCTGAACCTACCTGCAAATATTGAAAAGCAGCAGGTAACTCACAGTTATCTTTCTCAATCCAACCTTCCTTGCATTATCTGTGGTTCACTCAAAAAACCCCAGTTGCTATCCATCCAACTACTGTAATGCTATTCATGTCAGCTGCATACTTTCTATACAATCACTGGAATTGAACAGGCTGGCACTAACAGAACAGATTCATCTTATGTAGGACTAGAATCATTCTTCGTAGGCAACTATCTTTTCCTCCAGTAAGTGAAGAGAAAGACTCAGACAATGGGCCTACTGTCTTAGGCATCCATTAGCTCTGGTGAATCTAGGCTACTGACTCTAAAGGTCCTCCTTAAGATTAAATTAATTATGTCCTGAAAATGTTTATTTCTCTCCTGTGACTACAAAAAGTATCTTAAGTTCAGTGCAGTTAGAAATGTCTACATTACAGATATTTGCAGCTAGGACAAATAACTCT